GCCAGCCGCTTCTGGAGAGAGAAGTCCACTCCCGGGAGGGTTTCCGTCTCAGAAACCTACCAGGTCGCTCAGCTCCGTCCCCTCTGCAGCTAGCCGGCTTCTCTGTGGTCTGCTTTGAGCACCTGTCGGGCGCTGCCGGTGCGCACCTGGGTACGGTCTTAAGTACCTGATCTCCTGGGTCTTTCTAGGCAAGTTCTAGGGAGCAGAATTGCCTGGGCTGACGAGTGGAGGCAGTGGTGTCAAGTGTTGCCTTGAGAGGTGTATGGCTCTAGGCAGCAGCCTCGAGTGGAGGAGGGGCAGAACTTTGCAAGGGACTGTCCCACCCCACAGCGGGAGGCAGGAAAAGCTGTCCTGCGATTCCCTTCAGACCGAGACTCTGTAAATCGAATTCTAGTCACGTTAAACCTGTAGAGCTGCTCTCAGAGCTGGAGCAGCTCTGGAGGCGTAGTGAAGCGGGGTGTGCTAACTGCAAGGTTTGCGGTTTGAAACCACTAGCAGCTCCACAGGAGAAAGAGGCGGCTTTCTACTCCTGGGAAGAATTGAAGGCCCAGAAACCCTTGGAGGCTGCTCTATCGACCCTGTCCTATGGAGTCGCGAGGAAGTCGGCATCCACTCAATGGCACTGAGTTTTTGTTTTGTTTTTGTGGGGAGGGGGCGCCTGTCTTAGCTCTACTGTCTCTCAAACCTCAGTGCCATCTAGTCTATTCCAGCTCAGCAGTCCTATGGGACAGGGTCGGACTGCACTTTAGGGGGTAGACAGTCTTTGTTGCACAGAGCAGCTGTTGCTGGTTTTGAACTGCTGACCTTGCGGTTAGCATGACCACCCCGCCACTCTGTTGTGAGACAGCAAAGATACACAAACATTTATATAATAAATCCTAATTTATATAATAAATTCCGTGACCCAGCTCTGATTTTACATTTTCAGATCAGCTCCATAGTGGGTGCTCTTAGGGTTTTGGAAGTGGGTGTGGAAGAGGTTTCAGTGGGACCTGCAGAGGAATGGGGCGAAAGGCCTGGTGAC